CCTTTTTCTCCATCCCTCCTTCCCTCTCCCTCTCTTCCTCTTTCGTTTCGATCGCTCACCTGTGGACATACCCCCCTCCCCCTCACCCCCAACCCCCACCCCCTCAAAAAAGAAAGAAAAAAAACACAAGCTGTTTCTCCTTCCTTGAGTCGAATCATTGCACCTTCATGTTTTAATCGCAGGATGTCTGTCGAGAGGGGGGGAGGGGGAGAGGGGAGGGAGAGATGGTACGTTGTGATGAGGGGATTTTTATTATTTTTTTATTTTTTTCTTGTATCTTCTGTCTCTCCACTTTTTTGTTTTGTTTTTTTGTCTGCTCTCTTCTTTTTTTTCTCTCTTTATTTTTCTTTCTCCACTTCTTCGCCCTCTTCCTTTCTTGCTCTTTTTCCTTTCTCTTTCTTTGTGGGCGTATACGGTCTTATGTAAAGGTAGGTAGGTAGGTAGGAGGGAGGGGGGTAGGGGCAGGGGGGGGGAGATAGGGGATAGGGTGGAATAAGCATGTGATAGTGGTGGGGGGAGGGGGAGGGGAAGGGGAAGGGGTGTTATAGGGGATATAGGGGATGGGGGGGATAGGGAAGAGGGGGTGGGGGGGGGGGAGATCCCTCTCATTATCACCATTATGCCTGCACTTAGCCCACCCGTGTTATTAATTACGTCATTACCCCGCTAATTATAGATGGCGACGTCTCTAGGTCATTAGGCTTTGGCGATGACTTCGGTGAGGTTGCCTACGCGGGTAATTAAGGCAGATAGAGGTAGATTGATTTGCATATAGGGAGTGATATTGCGCGGGTTAAATCGGTTTATTTATCAGCTTTTTTTAAGAGAGACGTTTATTTAATATCATTTTGGACAAGAAATTGATTATTTACTAGCATTTCGTTCATGATGAATTCCTTGTGTCTCGGCGATGAACACGGACGTCGAAACGTACGAACAAGGACACGCGGGAGAGATGCACACGCTGCGTCCGTACGTTTGCACAGCGACCCTCTGGGCTCTGTGAACGTTATCTGCCATTGAGCTGTGCAGCCTTGCAAGGAGAGTGTTCAGTATGATAATTTAAATTGCTGCCGCGCCGGGGTGTTGTGCAGGGTATGAATGGAGCTCATCTGTTGTAATCCATTCCTCGAAATCTCAAAAGGAGAATGAATAGCGACGAAAAAAAAGAGTAAATATGATGAGGGGGGGAAAAAACAGTGGCGTTGTACGAAACCCAAACCCAAGCCGTTGACTCAAACGCACGTAATCGGACACCGCGTTTGTAACTCCAGCCTCATCTCACAACAGCGGGGGTGTTCGTGTTGCTGCAGATGACTTTTTAATCTCTTTCTCTCTCTCTCTCTCGTCTCTTTCTCTCTCTTGCCGAACTCGCGGGGGCGGAATATCTAGGATTCACTTAAAAAAGTCTTTAGTTTGTTTGTTTGTTCAGAAAAAAGGGGAAAAGATCGCCCCAGATATTTTCCGAAGGTGTATAAAGGCCCCTAGAAGTGGATGGGTGGCTGCGTCCGAAAGCGTGGCCGAGCGCACGCCGGGGCTCAGTGAGTGTGCGAAACTGTGGCCTCGCGATCTGAAACAGTCGGGGCCAGATCGGCTTTCACTTTTGGAGGATTGACAACAAAGAAAGTTTTAAGCTCCGGCGTTTTAGCTTGGTGGAGGCGGCGAGGATGATGGTGATGGTGATGATGGTGACGATGGCGATGGCTTCGATGATGGTGATGGCGGGGATAATGAGGAGCTATTTGGTATTTTATTCCACTGGAAGCATGGAGTCGGACGGTCATGCTACAGTTGTAGTTATAGTAGAGAGCGGGGGAGGAGGAGAGAGAGGGAGGGAGGGAGGGAGGAGGGTAGGGGGTGGGGAGGAAGAAACATGCGAGGAAGTAAGGAATAAGGAAGGTGGAGGAGGAGTAGGAGAAGGAGGAAGAGGAAAAGGGGGGAGGGGAGTAGGAGGAGGAGGACGACGAGTGAGGAAGGATTCACACCAGGATGCTTGAGCGGGGCATGTGGCGAGCTGGGTGTCGGACCTCGCTAATTATGGCAGAGGGGGGGGAGGGGGGGTGTATAGTGGAAGGGTGTTAGGATGGGGAGGAAGGGAGAAGGGGGTGTGGAGAGGGGGGGGGGTTTAAGAGTACAGTGTCGCATCAGTAGAGTGTTGATTTAGTGCAATGTGGCCACTCTTGGGTGACTCGGTCGAGATGTGTGTGAACCATGATTTTCCCCCCCCCCCCCACCATTTTTGTTTATTGCGTGACGGTCTTGTTGATCGTTTCCTCACATACCCGTTACGAAGCAAAATTGGGTCAATAAGACACGTATACCACGAGGCATTAAATAGGTTTGAGAGGGCATTCTACCTTCTGGCATCCTTAACTGCAGCAACACCTCTAGCTGTGTTGTGGCTCCCCCCCCCTTCCTCCCTCCTCCCTCCTCCCTCCTCCCTCCTCCCTCTCCACCCACGCTAAGCTCTGCCCACTGCCCTCCCCACCCCCTTCCCCACCCAGTACCCCTTCCCTTGACATATGGTAATGTTTAAGTCCGAGAAGCAGCAGCAGTCCACCTTCTGGAGGCGAAGGGCTTAACACGGCGTCTGCCAAGGAGCTCGAAATCTCCCGAGTCTCGATAAAGTCTCGCGCCGGGCACAAAGCAGGTCAAAGAAGGAATTGAATTTTCTTATGGCTCCCCTTTCTCTCTCTCTCTCTCTCTCTCTCTCTCTCTCTCTCTCTCTCTCTCTCTCTCTCTCTCTCTCTCTCTCTCTCTCTCTCTCTCTCTCCCCCCCGCTCCTTCCTCTCGTCCTTCCAAACTACCCCACCGAATTATCGGCATCTTTACGAGCATTAATGATTGGAATCGAACAAATCTGATATGAAGTTGATATTATCCAATTAGTTCCGGTGGGATCCCCGTCCTCTCCTCCCGTCGCGGTCGATCGGGCCTTGTTTATGGCGAGAGGTGTTGTCTGGTCAGCGAAGGTATACACGACAGGGAAGGGCTGGCCGAGAGTACCTCCCTAAACCCTGGTCCCCTCCCCTGGCCGCCTCCCTGCTCCCCACCCTGGTCTCTGGGGCCCCTCCCTTGGTCCCTTCCTGCTCTCTCCGTGGCCCCTGGTTCCCTCCCTGCTCCCTCCTAGGTCTCTCGCCCCCCCCCCCTTCCCGGTCCCCTCCTTGGCTGGGCGGACTGGCCACCGTTTGACCTGATTACTGATGAAAGCAAGCAGCGACCAGTGAGCCCGTCCGGCCCAGTCCTGCCGCTACCCGTTCTTGCCAAGGATAGGGCGAGGCTGGCAGGGAGGCGCGGAGGGAGAGAGGGAGAAAGGGAGGGGGGGTAGGCAGGGAGCGAGAGGGAGAGGGCGGGAAGGGAGAAAGGGAGGGTAGGAGGGCGGAGGCAGGGTGCTGCACCTGATCTAGAAATCCCTCCCTAGACCCCGCTTTGACGGAGTTAGGCTTAGGTTCTGGACAGCGTCCTTTCGCGGCTCTGTGGCGACGACCGCCTTGACCCTCCTGTGCGCATCGGGGTTGCGATAGGATTTTAATCGTAGGAGGAAGTCGCTCTTGAGAAAAAACGCGCGGTAAGAACGAGGGTAAAGAACGAGAGAAACCAGGATGAGGCAGGCTTGCAAAATGCTTGCTCCCGCCACGGCCCTCGACGCTGGCGTGGGCCGAGCGGGGGGGGCGGGGAAGGAGGTGCGCGAGAGCGGAGGTGACCTCGGAGTCGCCTGGCCAGTACCTCCTCCGCCGAGACTACAACTTCTAAGATCGTTATCTGGACCTCGACGCGAGTGCCCCCTGCCCCTCCCCCGCGCCCCAGGGCTCGTAGCCTGCCCTCCCGCCCGGCGCTCACCTGCCGATCAAGTACGGTTATCTAGTCCCGCGGAGGAAGGAGTAATACAGGCAAGCGGTATGGCACTCGAAGCGAAGGTACAGGGGAGGGAGGTGGAGGGACAGAGAGAGGGAGGGAGGGAGATGGTAAGAGGGGACAGAGGATTGAAGGAGGGATGGTGTGGATGGAAGGTGGCTTCTACGGGAGGGAGGGAGGGAGGGAGGGAGGGAGAGGGAGGGAGAGGGAGGGAAGGAGGGCAGGAGGGCGGGTCAGCGCCAGCCATCAATTTGATCTCCGGATGTGTTGTGGGTTTAATACCCGGGTGTGTAATAATTATAACCCGGCCCCCACGCTGGCAGTGTTAGGCGGCTGATTAAGGCTTAGCGGGAGTTGGTCCGGCCGACTGTTGTTTATTGGTCGTCCGGCCCCGCCGCCGCCTCCGCCGCCGCCGCCGCCGCCCGTGGAAGGGCTGCGGAGCGGAGTCGCGATGTCTGCACGCCGTACGGGACCTGTGCGGCCGTGGCTGCAGGGCACGGGACGGCGCTGCGGCGGCGTAGCGGGCCGGCAGTGCAGGGCGCAGTGGCAGGCGGCGGTGCGGCTGACCACGGGAGGGTGTTAGTGGGCCGCGCAACAACGGCTAATGATCGCAACAGATGACGGCGACGGCGCGGGCGCGCGTGTTACTTCCATTTGCAAATGCAGGAATGCAGTTGGTGATCCGGGGCGCGCGGTTTCCTAGTGCGTTGCAGACCCCACGTTCTGTGCACATTTATTACACGAGAAAAGAATCGAACCTTTCCGGAACCTTAAATCTGTCGAAACCGAAAGAATGTCGAGGCCATAATTGATCCCGATGGGCCGCGCCAAACGGTACCTGGCTGGGGATTGTTGCAGGGAAGGGGATCGACCGGGGGGGGGGGATGACTCGGGCAGCGGGCAGGGCCAGTGACCCCTCCCCCGGCCCGACATACTAAACCCACCTTGCAGCGCGCACACTTACACACTCACACGAGATTGCAAGCTCACCTGTTACCTTATTGGGTCTTGATCATTGCTACAATTGTGTGTTTTAGCTTTCGGTGTCCGGGCTTAGGGCCTGGTTGCTGAAGTAGCCATGTCTCCTTCTGACTCCTTCTCGCGTCCCTGCCAACACTCCTAACGCGTCCCTCTCTCCCCCGCAGGACCCCTCAAGCGGCGCCGGCATGGACCTAGAGCTGTTCGAGGCTCTGCTGGCCAACATGCAGCAGAACCTGCCCCAGGGCGCCTACGATGAGCTCGACGACGACGACGACGATGACGATTACGATGAGGATGATGATGAGGACGACGACGAGGACTACGATTACGGAGGCCATGAGCACAACATTCACACCATGAGCAACCCCTACGGCGGCGGCGAAGGCGGCGTGGGCGGCGGCGAGATGGGCGGCGGAGACATGTGCGGCGTCTCGCTGCCCACCATGCAGACCATGAGCATCCTGCAGGGCCTGCTCAACATGAACCCGGCTGCCCTGCCTGGCGGTGCGCCGGACATGGGCGGGGCCATGAGCAGCCCCATGAACGCCGGCATGCCCGGCATGGGGGCCCCCATGGACGGCGGCGCCGGCAGCTTCCTCTCCAACATGCCCTCCTTCCTGCCCTCCATGAATCCCGACATGGCGGGCGCCCTCGCTGGGGCCTTCGCGGGCGGCATGGGCGCCCTCATGGACAGCTTCGCCGGCGCGGGCGGCGGAGCGCAAGTGCACGACTATGATGAGGACGATGAAATTCTTTCTGATGAAGAAGACGAGGAGGACGACGATGATGACGACGACATCGATGAGCGAGGACACGGCGGCATGGGGACAGTCGCCGCCGCGGCCGCGGGCGTAGCAGCCGTGGGCGCCGTGGGCGGCATGATGACCTCGGGCCTCCTAGGCACCCCTCACCCTTCTGCTGGTCCCGGCCACCCTGTTGGGCCCGGCCACCCAGTTGGGCCAGGCCACCCCGCCTTGGCCGCCCACGTCCCTATGCCCGGCCATCCCATGTCCGCGCATGGGGGCCATCCCCAGCACCCAGGGCACGTGCCCATGTCCGCACACGGGCCCCCAGTGGGCTTCACCCACCCTGGTTTTAACCCCACAGACATTCTGAGTGCGCCGCCCTCGTCCGCGCCTGCGCAGGTGCCGCCCCACAGCATGCCGTCCCACGCCGCGTCGCCCATGCACCACACCAGCATGGCGCCCAGCATGAGCGGCGGTTCCGTCAGAAGCGTGGACCCTCTAGCCGGCGTGGCCATAGGCGCGGCCGGCGTGGCGGCGGGCGCGGGCATCCTGGCGCCCGTGGTGAGCAGCCTCCTCTCCGCCGCGGGAGGCAAGTCGCTGCAGAAGCTGGACAACTCCGACGCCTCGAGCACGACCATGGTGGGCGACGACTCGCTGAACAGCTCGAGCAAGACGGTGGCGGCGCAGGAGCGGCCGGCGTCCGCCCCGAGCGCCGTGGCCGCCATCACGAAGGCGCTGGAGAAGACGCACATCACGCCGCCGTCCCCCTCCGCCAAGAAGGATGGCGACGGTTCTCCGCCTGAAAAGACTAGTGAGCAGAATGAGAGCGAGGAAGACGAGCCCGAGGAGGAGGCTCCCAAGCCAAGCACCCGAGTCTCCACGCCCAAGGACGAGCTCGAGGATGACAAGGCGAGCGTTGGCGCAGAGTCCGTTCCTAGCTCCGAGGAGGCCGGCGACGGGAAGTCCGACACCGAGAGCGTCCGAAAGAAGACCCCCTCGCCCGTTCTCACCGGGAAGCTGGGCCGCCTGAGCCCCACCGGCAGCGAGTCCACGCCCGTGCTCGAGTCCGCCAGCTGCGCCTCCATCACCGACCTGGCCAGCGCGACCGAGTCCATGCGCGACTCCGACACCGACAACCACTCGGACGCGCACAACGTGACGGCCAACCTGTCGGACCTGGACAACGACCTGCACGAGACGCAGCCCAAGGTGCGCGCCCCGCCCCAGTACGCCGTCGGGGCGCTGCCCATCGTCATAGAGAAGCCCACGTTCGGCTGGCAGTCCATGGTCGGCCTCGACACCGCGAAAGACGCCCTCAAGAACCTGTTCCTGAGCGAGTCGTTCCCCGAGGTGTTCGAGGGCACGCAGGGCACGTGCAAGGGCGTGCTGCTGTTCGGGCCGTCGGGCTCCGGCAAGACGTGCCTCGCACGGGCGCTCGCCAAGGAGACCAACGATGCCATCCTTATCGGCATCTCCACCGCCTACTTGGCGTCGCAGGCGCCCCTAGAGGCCCCGAAGATCGTGCGGTACCTGTTCGACCACGCGCGCATGCACACGCCCGCAGTCATCCTGTTCGACGAGGTGGACGCGCTCTGCTACGACAGGTCCAGCCAGACCGCACTCCGGGCGAAGGCCGAGCTTCTGGCCCAAATTAGAGGTAGGTGCTTCCCTTTGTTCAGTGTTCCTCTTAGTGACGTCCATCTAACGTGACCTGCGTCTGAGACTCGACCTGCGAGCCCCTCTAACCCTCCCCCCCCTTCTTCCTCAGGCTTGACGACGCTGAACCCGCCTTACCCGGCTGGCATCGACCCGTCCACCTTCAACGACGGCCTCATGGTCCTGGGCACCACCAACCAGCCGTGGCTCCTGGAGGAAGACCTTAGAAGGATCTTCACCTACAACATCCACGTCAAACTCCCCAACGAGAAGGCGAGGGAGGAGCTCCTAAGAATGTTCCTGCAGAATCTTCCACATAATATTAACGACGACCAGTTCAAGTGCCTTGTAGCGAAAAGCGAAGGGTGAGTGATCTAATACACACTTCATTTACTTGCCTGTCAATTTACGAATTTGCTTATTGAGTTTTTTAAGAGATCGCTATAAATAAAAAGTACCAAACAGTATAAAACTTCAAGGCGAAAAGAGGACTAATATTGACTCTTCCCCCCTTCCCCTCTCTCAGGTATTCGGCGGCCGACATCAACACTGTGATCAGACAAGTAGCGCATATGCCTCCCAGTGAACCAAACAAATACATACAACCCACACATCGGGTCATTACCTATGTAGGTATTCCTTTTTGAAGTGTTCTTGATTTTTTTTATACTTTTTTCATGATTTAATATGAAGGAATTGGCTGTCCATTTACAGATCCTTCCTCTAGGCTTTAATTAATTATTTCTTTTTCTTTTCCTCCCCAATCAGGATGATCTGGCAACTGTGATGACTGATTACAGATGTAGATTTACAGAGGAAGTGTCTGTGAAGTACCAGAGGTATATCAAAGCCGCAACGCACAGATCAGGTAAGCTATTTTACGCCTTACTTTATTGTTGTTGTTTTTTCTTTTTTTTCTTTTTTGAGGTATAAATTCATAGTTTTTATTCCGGTTGGACAAGTAGAGATCATATTTGATTTTTAAAAAGGCAAGGGAATGTGATAGGGATTTTTTTTTTTTTTTTTTTTTTTTTTTTTTTTTACTTTTTTCGTTGTTCAAAAGGTCAGAGTAATTTGGTTGAAGGAAAATAATGTTATTGTACTCCTTTTTTATTTAAAAAAAAGGGAGAATAAGAATAATAAGGTTCTTCCCGGGTAATTTTCGTTAGTTTCATTTATGAGGGAGGGGGAGGGGGGTAAAAAAATTCATGAACATCCTGCTTGTCCAAAATTGCTCAATATACGTTCTGTGAATAGCACATTCTTGTAAGGAGTTCTTATTTTATAGAGATTTGACTGACATTTCCTTTTTTCTCTCCCCCCCTTCCCCCCCTGGCACAGAAGAGCGGCGGGAAGACAGTAAAAAGGATGGGAAGAAGGAGCCCAAGGGAGTGAAGAGGTTCGGTCAGCGGATCGCAAAATCCCTCGCTGCTGCGCTCGTCGCTGTGATAGATTAAACCGTTTTCGTCTAGATTTTAGTGAAAAGACAGACCCTGGCGGCGGGGCACAGTGCCGAGGCTGCTGCGCCTTCGTCGACGTCCTGCCAGCCGGGGCCGCGGTCTCTGCGGAGGTCGTAGGGATGTTGTAATTAGCTCTGTACAGTCTATCTGTGATGAACCATTGTTTTTTTTTATTAATTGGACCTCCTTTGGCCATGGCGCCGGCTGGGTCTCTTGAGAAAGAGAGAGAGAGAGAATGAGAGAGAAAAAAGAGAGCGAGAGAGAAAAGAGGAGAGGGAGACGACGCTACGACGTGTCCCTCCCTCCCTCCCATCCCCTCCTCCTCCTCTTCCCCCTCCTCCATCTCCATCTCCTCCTCCTCCTGCTCCTCCTACTTCTCCTACTCCAGCTCATCCCTTCACGACCCAAAGAAAGAGGGACGTGAAGAGGGAGAAAGAGAGAGAGAGAAAGAGGAGGAAAAAGAATGGGGGGGGAAAAAAAGAGGAAAGGCAAAACGCAGCCGTGCCCCAGCCAAGGTCGGAAGAACTTTTAGTCACTCGAGTCATTTCCTGATCCCCACCATCTACAAGCAACCCCGCCCGCCCGCCCGCCCGCCCGCTCGCACGCCCGCCCGCTCGTACGCCCGCACATTGACCGCCCTCTCCCTCCCTCCCTCCCGCCCGCCCGCCAAGTCGCCTACGCCCACCAGCGCCTCCCGGAAGCCCCCAGACGCCCGAACTCCCCAGCAGCCGAGGGAGAGAAGAGAGAGGTACTTGTGATAACCTCTCGCGAAGAAGAAGAAGAAGAAGAAAAAGAAAAGAGAGAGAAAAAAAGTGATAACACAGTGTGTGTATGTTTAAAGTGAAAAAAGTAAAGAAAAGAAAAAAAAAACTTGACGAATGGAAAGAAAAAGGGGAAAAAAAATTTAGTGATGTGAACTTCAATCTTCTGCGCTTCCTTGGAATGGTGTTTTGTGTACTGGAGACTCTGTGTATTGCGCCCCAGTTGCAAATGTACTGCTTTGACGAGACCGCCTGGTGGTTGGGTGTCCCGATGAATGGTGAAAGGAAATAGTGCAAGAAAGGAGGAGGAGGAGGAGGAGCAGGAGGAGGAGGAGGAAGGGAGAAGGGGCCAAGGAGAATTGAAAGAAACGTGTGAATGCTATATATTATATAGTGTAGATATATTATTATGCAATATATGTATGCTATATAATATATATTAAATATATGTTGGTTCCAGGCGGCTCGGAGCAAGGGATGCTTTGAATACTGTCACATGCTTGTGGAATGAGTATATGAAGGGTGCTTCTTAACAGCAATCATTCTATATATATATATATATATATATATATATATATATATATATATATATATATATATATATATATATATATTATAAATTTAATGATTGCCCCCCCCCCCCCCTCCCTACTTTTTTTAATATATTTGTCGAGGCTGCTAGGTAGTTTCCGTACAGTTTGGGAAGTACATGGAATAGTGTTGCATAAACCCAGAATCTGCAATATTTGCAATATGTGAAGGTGTTGGGGATAAGACTAAGATTGCCTGCTCTTTTTTATATGTTGTACAAATCTTCTTTTGTTAGAATATTGAATCGATTTTCTCGCCTTAGTCACGTGATCTCAAAAAGTACGTATGCAATAACCTCCCATTATATAAGATAGGTAAAAAAAATGTGCTTGTTTGTTTTTATTATTATTTTTATTATATATAGTGATTGAAAGTGATGATCATACATTTTATTGCATTATTGTTGTTGTTACAGTTGACTTGGAAACAAAATCACGCAAAAAAAGACATGATGAAAGTAAAAACATATTTTTGCAAGTCAAAATTTGCAAGTGGAGTGACTCAAGGTGACGCATTTTTTCCAAAAAAGTGCATATATATTCAGATTTTTTTTCTCTTGTTATAGACGCACATATCGGCAAGGAATATAGTTAATGATAATGGGCATGCTCCTAGTTTTTTTTATAGATTTTTTTTAAATCTTTTTTTTTTTTAGGAAGCCGTGGGTGAGGAACGTATCTTTTTTTGTGGCATTGTTAAGACCGGATACGTTATCAGTGGGTATCAGTGGCCGATAGTCTAGTGTCTTGAATTTTTCTTAACCCGTCTATTTTTTCGTTTTTTTTTTTTTTTTTTCCTTTAGTAAATTTAGTTTAGACCGTGCCCCCCTCCTCTGTCTATTCAGACAAATCCGTCCAAAGTTCTGTTGGATATGAAGTATCTATATATTGGCATTATTAGACACGTCCCTTAACTTCCTTTAATTTTCTTTATTTATTTTGTTTTAACTCTTATTAAAGATCTCATCAAAGGCCACTTACAATAGTCCCCCGATTAGATCCGCGTCTAACGAAAGACAATAGATCCCCCCCCCCTCCTCCTCCACCCCAGGCCCTCCCCCCCCCCCAGCTGTGTTAGCAAAAGCCCTTTTAACTTTTCAGTTTTGATTTTTTATTTTTTTATTATTATTATTATTTTTTTTTTTACTTTCAAAAAGACACTTGCCTCCTAAGTGGTCGCGTTGTCACTTTGTCTTCCACTTTAAATGGCTTCCACAATGGTTTAGAAATTTTATATATCTATATTTAAAGAATGTTTATGGATATTTTTTTTCTTTCTTATGGATAGCGGTGGTGCTGGTCGTTGTATCCGGTGGCCACTTAGGCAGAGAGGCAAGCCGTTATTGTATTATTTTTTTGCGCTTTAGGTCAACCGAACAAAGTGGGGAAAAAAACGATGAAATGAACATCACTTTTTTTTTTCTTATCAGTTTCATGTCTTTAAATGGTTAGCTCCCCTCCTCCTCCTTCCTCCTTCCTCCTTCCTCCTTCCTTACCTCCCCCCCCCCCTCAAACTCTTTCTGTAGTTCGATAGTTTCAGAATCCTTTTCTCCCCCCTTCCCCTCCTGTTCCATTTTCTACCCCTTTTTTTAAATGTCAGTTTTGTTGCATATTTTTTTTTTTTTTTTTATGTATATCAAGAGTGCGTTTTTTTCAATGGCGAAGGTAATCCTGAAGTAATGTTAAATGTCTCTTTTTTATCATGATTATTATTATTATTATTATTATTATTATTATTATTATTATTATATATTATTACAGGTTTATGGTGCTTATCCTGGGCTAGGGTGGTGGAATTCAATGCTTATGATTGCTTTAATTGTATACATGTTATAGGAATCTTTTTTTTTTTGTTTTTGTTTGTTTTGGGTCACGTCTTTTATATATATATATACATATATATTTTTTTTTGTATGTTTCATGTATTCAGTTTTGTATGTAAGATTTTTTTTTCCCTCTCAATATTAGTGGGGTGTCTTTTGGCAAGGGAGTTTTTTTTATATAATTTTATTTGTCACATACGACCTCTTTTAGTGTATTTACTTTTTTTATTTATTTGTTTGTTTGTTTGTTTATGCTCCTGCTGTTTGGCTTGAACTTAAGGAATCCTTTGGACTTGAGTAGCGAGCCAAGTCCTTGTGGAATTCTTTCACGTCTGGCCAGTGGGTGAGCACCTGACCTGCCTGCTTCTGTAAAAAAAAATTAAAACGAGAACAACAACAACGACAACAACAACAAAAATTAATAAGGATTGTTTCTTAAGCTGCCCCTGTTTCGCTTATTTTGAAATGTGGATGGCGAGCACCCCCCTCCCCTTTCCCCTTTCCTCTCCCTCTCCTCTCCTCTCCTCTCCTCTCCTCTCCTCTCCTCTCCTCTCCCAACCCCATTTTCCTTCTTGTCCTTTCCTCCTCCCCCCCCCCCCCTCTCTCTCTCTCCCTCCCTTTCCTACCCCACACCCAACTCCTCTCTCCCTCCCTTCCCCTCCCCACACCCAGCTCCTCTCTCCCTCCCTTCCCCTCCCCCCTCCCCTTCCCTTCCCCCTCCCCATTCCTTCCTTCACCCCCCCCCCCCGCGGGCCCCGGGCTATAGATTGTTTGAATGAGCCAGCCCCCCCCCCCCCCACGTCCTGTAAACAACACAATATATGAATTGTAAATGTAAAAAAAAAAAGATGGAATTGGAATAGTTTAAAAAAAAATGTATTGACCCCATCGCTATATTTATTAATAAAGATGTATCATTTAAGCTTTTTTTGAATTTCATTATTATTGTTATTGCTGTTATTATGATTATTATTATTATGATTATTATTATTATGATTATTATTATTATGATTATTATTATTATGATTATTATTATTATGATTATTATTATTATTAATTATTATTATACTGCTACTACTACTACTACTATGACTATTTCCACTATAACTACTCTTATTACTATTTCTCATGGTTTTTATCTTATCTTTTATTTTATTGTTTATAAGCTAAGAAGAGAAAACTGAAATAAATTGTGATAGTAAGCTTGTGAGTGAGTGGAAGGCGGTTGTTGCAGACGTGGTGAGGAGAGGACACAGGCCCAGGCGCTCGGGGGTCAACAATGGGCGTCTTTCCAAAGGGCGTGTGGCCTCCTGAAGGGCGTCTCCTAGGCCCCTCCCTCCCTCCTTCCCTCCCTCCCCTCTCCTCTCTTCATTTGCCCCTCTCCTCTCCTCTCTTTCCTCTCTCTTCCTCTTCTCTCTTTTTCCCCTCCCTCGCTTGGTTGCTTGGTTGGGGGAAGGAGGGAGGGGGAGGGAAGGGAAGGAGAGGGGGAAAGGGGGGGGTAGGGGTCCACTCGTTCGTCCGTTCCTCTTCGTTCGTTTGTTCCGAAGGGAATTACTTTCGCTTTCTTGTTTTTTTAAAGGGGGTGTTTTGATTGTATATTCCCTGATTTAATGTCTAGAGATTAATGGAATGGAGGGAAGAGGAGGAAGAAAGAGGAAGAGGAGAGGACGTGGAGGAGGGGGGGAGAGAGAGAGGCGGGAGACTCCGCTAGTGCTGTGCAAAGGCTTCGTATGCCCTTTTGACATGGAGAAAAAAAAACAAACAAAAGTGCATCTCGAGCACAGTCTATTTCCATTGTGCACCGCCGTTATTATTTTTTTTTTTTTTTTATAACTCTCCAAGTGTGTGAAAAAGTTTTACTTGTAATTTAAATGATGCATTTATAGAGCCTCTGTTTTTTTTTTCTTTAGCCGTAGCATTGTTTCGTGCTTAGCTGTTAAGGTTTTTAAGTGGCTGTAAAACAGTCGGTATGTATGAAGAAGCAAAACTATGGTGTCGCCACGGAGCTTTCTGGGCCGCTGGGTGCCTGCCTGGGCCCCCGCCCCTTGGCACTCAGCGCCCGCCGTAGTTGTAAATGATAACCCTTCGTTGCCCAGACAATCCCATGTTTTTGTGGTGTTATTATTATGATGATTATGATTTTAATTATGATTATTATTATTATGGTTATTATTATGATGATTTTTATTATGGTTATTATGATCATTATTATTATTATTATTTTACTAGTGCATCAGCATACTCCAGTATATTCCCCTTTTTGCTCTGTATTTATACCTAGCTATTCCCGGGGCTTGTCTCTAGCGCAGATGTTGATGCTGAATCTTTTCTGTAGGGCTGTTTTTTTTTATTTTTGATTAGGAACAAAAAAAAACATGATTATTCAAAGTGAATATTGTGGTCATGACGTGACTGTGGTGTACTGTAGAAAGAGTATATTTGATCAGAGATGGCAAGAGAATTTTGTTATAAACATGACGCGCACAAACTTTACCAAGATTTTTATTTACAACCACTACTATTTTGAACTCCCTGTATACATTTAAGTATATATACACATACAAACCAACCAATGGTGTCTTAAGTGTTGCAACACAATCAATGGAGGGCAGGTGTACAGCTGCACCCTCCCCGCCCTCCCTCCCTCCCTCCCTCAGCTGTGTGCACATTGATAAGGCTTATCAACGGTACTGCAAGTGCAATAGAATAGGATGCAGAAGAAACAGATCCAGTTAGTATGTGGCTTTGTCGAGCTTTTGCCGGCTTTGCAATTCCCATCTCTGTAGGATATAAGGACCCAAATCTGATGCAATGTTGATGATGATGGTGTGTTTGTACTTTAACACTTAAGTTGTATAACTGTGTGTTGCTAATCCAGAATTCTGAAACGGAACTTAACACAAACTTGAATGCAATCAGATGCAATTTGAAAGGAATAGCAACGTCTTTTTGAGAGAGAAACAGACAATCGTGTATCGAACAAAGAAAAGAATAGATATGAACTTGATTACACACAATCAAACTACTGTGTTATACCATAAGGCTCTCACCCTGCACTTCTGGGTGTGAGAGCCTCCTTTCCAACACTTAACACTTAAGTCTTGTTTGAGAATTCTGATTTTTCTTTTTGTTTTCTTTTTTTTTGGCTTTACTCTCCCGCCGACCGTCGCTGTTGCGCATGTGCAGAATATTACGTAAGATGTGATAACCCCCTGTCATGTTATCCCCCCTCTCCCTTCTCCCCCCCCCCATTTTTTCTTGTCCTCAATTCACAATTGTTTCTCTATTTTTTTTTTTTTAAGTGGAAATATGTATAAATAGACCAATGGGGCAGACGCTCCCTTCCCCTTCTCCTCCTTTCCTCTCTCTCTCCCCCCTCCCCCCCTCTTCTCTCTCTCCCCTTCTCCCCACTTTCGTGTTTTGCGGAAGGACGGAAACAAAGGACGTGCGAAAGGCGACTGTGGCAGCGCTTCCCTCCCGCGCAATATTTCCTTCGCAGAGTTGCAAAGAGAGAGAGTGCGCGTCCGTGTTGTGCTGCTCCTTGCTCATCTTGCACACATTGCACACTCGCGAGGCCATGAGCAACCGTGCCGAGTCATGGCTGGAAGACTCCCGAAGCCATGACGTCAGGAGGACATGGAGGTTCATTTTTATTATCATTCTGGCGGCATCTGGTAATGAGCGAGGAATACATATAAAGTTCCCTTAAATAACTCTAATGATTTAGAAGAGATAAAAAAAAAAAACTTATTCTGAATCTGCATAAGACTCGTATCCCAAGGTCCTCTTTCGAGTTAGAACAAGAGACAAAACCCGTCCAATAAAACCGCAAGAAATGTATCATTTTTGTTCTTCGAAAAACGAAAAATAAAAGAGCAAAATATTTCGGCGCTCCGACCCGTCGCGAGCAGGTGAAAAAGCCCGCCTGCCGAAGGGTATTTCGCTGTATGGGTCATCTGCCCAGCTCCCAGCCGCGCAAAATGGCCTCTACCTGTGGACCACACAAGGCTGGCTGGCGGGGCGGGGAGGCGAGTCGTGCGCGAACCCCCGCCCTTCTGCTATGGCGATGTGTCCAGGGGCATCGGCGGGAATCTCGCTTGCAGAAGGGCAGCGGGAGAGAAAGAAAGGGAGGAGAGAGAGAGAGAGAGAGAAAAAAAAAGGATGATGATCGCGCAAAAGCGAATCTCATCTTCCCGCCTTTTCGTGCAGTTGTAAACAACCGCTTGAGGGCGCGGACAGCGAGAATGGAAGAGAATTAAAAGAAGAAAAAAAAAAAAAAAGAGGGAAAGGCGAGAGATAGAGAGAGAGAGAATGCATCTCTGTGCGAAAAGGTGTGCACGTCCGTATCTGTACGTCCGTGTGCGTGTGTGTGCAAGGTAAAAGGGTTAATCCGCCACCGAGAGCTCAAGGACACATCCGGCAGCTGACGGGCGGTAGACATCCCTGAGGGCAGCCCTAAGGACCTGACCGACCGCCCGCCCGCTCGCTTCAGGTCAGGGGTCAACAACAACAACGAGAGAGGGTGTATTCGTGCGTGCGTGCGCTCGTTAACCTCGAAATTGAACCCCACGAAAATTGAGTTAAAAGCCGAAATCGATGTCTGCGATGGGTTCTAACAGTACCCGTGTCACGTGACCACGCCGAGGGCCGATGCGTAACGTCGCTCGTGTAATTAATTCTCACCTCTGTTCCGCTCGTTCGTGAAGCGCGTGTTCGTCGTTTTAGAAACCGCGGGTGACATCGGATATTTGCTCGTTTTTTTTTTTTTTATCTCTCGGTCTCTCTCCCTCGCCCGAACCATCCGCCCCACAGAGATGTGATGGGGAGGGAAAAAAACAGATAATAATTGATGAGCGAGGGAAAAAAAGTTAATCATCCTGTGTGCCCTTCTGTACACACCTGTGGTTGCGTGTCACCAAAAAATTTCCTCTTTTTAAACATTTACTCCCAAATTCATACGATTTCAGCAACACGCCTCAGAATATCTTCTCTCCGCGTCCCCATGATACATATTTATACAAACACGCAAGACCGCAACGTAGCACAACATCAGATTTTTTTCTTCCCCTCTCCACTGCAGCGGAATAGGAGAATAAAACAAGAGTTATAATTAAGGTAGCTGGTTACCTTGTTTGCGTTTTAACCTAGGGCCGGTGCGCGTCAGGCGTCAGGCGGCGAACGGGCGGAATGGCGGAGGGGGGGAGGGGGGGTAGATGGCCCACCCGGCGTCGCTATTTTCACAGTTCATGGGTCATTTTCACGCTGGTTAGATCCGTACCTTGTTTCGTTATATTCCCTTGGGGTTAAGTTGGTTCTTTCTTTTATTTTGGCTCTTTGTGCGTTCATCGTACTTTCGTTTTCGTTATTCTGGATGAATTTCTGTAT